CGCTGGGATTGTGGCGAAAAGCTAGAATTCCAATCTGGTGCGATGACTTTTCTCGCCTAATTGTTTCGCAGAACAGGCTGTTATAGTTGCGCTCGGCGCGGGGTGGGTCAGCAACCCGCGCCCCAGTTGGGCCTCGCGCCCGTCGAACCGCAGACTCTCTTGGCTAGTAAAGCCGTTACTCCAACCCTGCTTCTACCCACACACTTCTCTCTTAATCTCAGCCCACTCCTCCCCCACGGCTTTACCACTCCCCCTCGTCACGCAGAAAGCGATCACTAATGTATTCATAATAACTTCTTGAATGCGGCCTGGTCGCGGGCTGGAGGCGTGCGCAGTACCATGCCATTGATGTTGCAAACGTCGCTTGTTGGCCGCCGCCCCAGCCCAGCCCCGAGGCCCAGCTGCTTCAGTTTACCTCTTGCTCGTGCCCAGGTATCTGCTGCACTGCCTTATTTCCTCTGTATTTACATAGGCGGAGTAAAGTCCTCGGCAGGTGTGCTAGTGTCAGTGTTCATGTGCGCGCGCACTGACCCAGTAAAACACCAGCGGCACCCTTCCTTCTCGTTTTCAGTCCCCCCCCCCCCACCTATTTCCTCTCTGGGCTTGACCTGCCCCACTAACTCAGTTGCAAGGCCATACGCTGAGCCCCAACCCCTCGCCTTTCCAGAGCCCCTCTCCCGCCTCCTCCCTGCCTCCCTCCCCTCTTCCTAAACAGAGGGTTCTTCAGAAAGGGCCCCTCTAAGGCATCCAGGCAGTACTTCTTTTTAAGCTGTTTAAAAATCGTTTGTAAACCACTGGCAGATGTTTTTTCATCAATAGTACAAAATCTTTTTTTTTTTGGCAATAAGTTTCTTACAAAAAATAAACACAATAATTAACAATGTAGTCAGTAATCCTCCCGCGAAAAAAAAATTGGTGTTTGCTAAGAAATATATCTGTACAGGTCTGAGTGGGTAACATAGCATATGGCCATAATGTGTGTACCAATGCATAACATTGTCCTGCATGTAATTCATGATGTATGTGCTGTATGTGCGGTGTATGTTGTGGATCTTTCACTCTGCTTCCTACACATTCTCCATATCTCCTCGAATTGAGACCAACGAAGGCGCGCCTTTGTGTGGGGTGCAGGTGCGGGCGAGGTAGTGACCGATTCACCGGGGATCCATTGGATCGGGGGAACGGAAACATGGGAGGGGTGAAGAAGAAGTTGTGCGGATGAGGGGGGAGGGGCTAGGGTAGCCGCAGGCCGATGTCGTCTGCTGGTCTCTCCCGGTCAGCGCCTCGACAGATATGGGAGAGGGGGAGGGGGAGGCGACCCGGGGCCCCCAGGGACTGGAGAGGGAACGCGGCTGGAACTCCAGACGATACTGCTGACATTGGCTGACGTGAATTATTTTCGTCCACCGACAAGTTTTGTTCTTTTTAATGGAAAGTTCTACCGCACGTAACTGCAGTCACAACATTTTGGCACACTGCAAATACAAGGTATCTAAGTAGGTACTAAACTAGCTTACTACAGGCTTCAGCTGACTGGATTTGTATATTTTATTCGCGTGGATTTAAGCAATCAAGTTTTTTGCATTTTGACCTTTTTACTTTTTTTACTGCATTCCTTTGCACGAAATGTCACAAAATGAAATACAGATATATTGCGGAAACGGGGAATTTATTTACGTGCTTATACCAACAGTCCGTCCCAAGGTGTTACCCTGACTGCCGTCGTCCGACACGCCATCAATTCTAGGTATTACAATTTTTTTGTTCTCGTACCCCGTCCATTCTCTCTACCCTCTCTTCCGCTTCTTCTTTTCCAACTCAACTTCTTGTGTTACGTGATATTTCTTGAAACTGTTTACAATTATTTTTCGTCTCCGTCTTTAAAAAAAAAAAAAGCACAAGAGATTGGTCAGTTCGACGGCGGCGGGAGCCGCCGCTCGGCGACTAGAAAAATTTGCATTCACTTCGCGTGACGTGCTCTGAGAGCCGAGTCGAGCAGAGCCAAGCAGAGCCGAGTCGAGTAGAGCCGAGCTCAAGCTTATGCCCTGTGGGCCCTTCTGTCGTTTTTTTTTACACGGGCGAGGGAAACTAAAAATAGCAAAAGAGGTAAAATAAAAGCAAGACCACACTGTGAAGCTGTTGTTCGAGCCACCCCGCCGGCCTGCCCGTCATACTGACCATGATGCTGAAAGAGAGAGTGTGGGGTGCGAGGTCTATTTACGGGGCGGTGTGTGAGTGGTAACGATGTAACCCCCCATCCGCGAGCGTTGATCTCGTCCCACACTCCCACTCTCCTCTGCCACAGAGAAATGTGCTCGAAAATCAACCAAGGGTATCCACAAGGATACACAATTCCTACAAAGCTGAGGACACAGTATTCGTCGACTTCGCATTATGATTTGTTTTCATTTGCAATTTGCATTTCTCTGGGCACGCACTGTCTTCTCACTAAACCTTCATGCATTATGTTCTTACATATAAATTATAGTGTGGGTTCATTGTTTGCACACACCTTATTTTTGTAAAAGCCTCCTATCACTCAACATTTGCCTAGCCTCTTTTCTTTGTCTGACAGTGTAACGTGAAGATCGCCTACTCCTTGTCCTGCCTGCAAGACGAATGGTGCTCCGTTAGGGGGATTGCGGCCCATTGCACCTCTCCGAAGTGATTTACCGATTTGCATGTGGGAACACACAAGTAGCCGTGTATATGCGGCGCGGTATAGGGCGGCCGTGTTTTAGTGCCACGTGAGACTGTGTGTGTGTGTGAGAGAGAGAAAGGGGGGGGGGGGTGCACACGTTCGCTTCTGTGCACGTGCATTGCACGTGTGGGTGTCGGTATGCGAATGTGTGAATGCGCACGGGTGGGGGGGGTTCGCGCTGAGGGGATGGGGAGGGTTAGGGAAGACGGAACGCCTAGTAGATACTGTTATCAGTGTACTGGTAGCGGACGGGTGCCGCCGCTACTCTGTGCCGCAATCAACACATGTATGTACTCTGTAGTTGAAGAGGATGCTGAAACACCAAGAAATGGGGAGGGAAGCAAAACTAACACAAATAATCGAAAAATCTGCTGTTGAAAGTTGTAGCCGTGTTTTGGGTCTGTTGTATTGTACATTTACTTATGTCCTAATTCCACGAACCAAAAGCCGCATGACATCATCCCTCTATTCGACGTTGCAACCGAACGCTGTCTATGTTCACGGAGTAAAAGCTACTTCTACTCCGTTACAATGTAAAAGAATTTTAAATACTATATCTGTCTCAGTCCATTGTAGTTAGAGAAACTCATTCTAGCACCGTAAAGTGAAAGACGGATCGAACGAGTCGTAATTTTAGTCGAAAGGGTTCCATTCATTTACTCATTAACTGACCATTGAAAAATATTCCTTTTTTTGGACCTCTCCTTTTTCTTTGATACTCTCTCTACCACCCTCTATGGTGTTGTTGCCGTTGTTGCCAGGATTTGCTGCAGGCATTTAGTTTCCTAAGGAGTGAACCTTAAGATATCCTGGAAATGTCAAGTCTCCAGCTTATCTGCATCTTGGAGGAAGAGACAGACAGACACACAAACACCAGGTCGTTTTTGCAAAACACGGAAAAAATAGTTTCTTGTATTTCAAGACCCGGTCTTGGATCTAAGGGAGAACGCCAATGGCATCCAAGACCAGGTCTTGAAATACAAGAAACTATTTTTACCGTGAAATCCCGCTTGATAGCTTTTTCAAAGCAGAAGGGCGGATTAAAAAGTGACAACTCGTAGAGTGAGGAACTATTTAGTAAAAAATTACTTTTCGTCATACCAAATAACAATATTTTCGCGAAATCATATGAAATTAGATTGTATTATGTCTTTATTCGTGGCAATTGCATCGGCTGTGAGCCACTGTGCAGCTTGCCTTACTTTTCAATTATTCCATACTTTGAATATTTCTTTCAGATTATGTACCGACACTGCCGCAACAAGTTCCTGCCGCACACACAAAGTCGTTTCCCGCACAAAGTACAGTGTACAGCGAGCGGCGCAAAACGCGTAGCATCTTCGACAATGCCGCCCCGTGTGAATAAGACGCGCTGTGCCTCTGTTGTTGTTGGGCCAAAAATTTGCATTTTGATTGTCTTGAGCAACCGAGGAAGAGAAGGGAGTGAAAAGGGAAGGTAACAGCGCAAGGACCTCGAGCTGCGAGGGCTGTGGGCGGGGACGAGGGCGGGGTGGAGCGAGTCGGAGAGTGGGAGAGGCGGTGGTCCCGGGGGTTGTCCAGCAGCAGGCCCATGTAACAGTGAGCGCGCCGTAGCGTGAAAGCGCCGCGTCAATCGTGCCGGCTGGCTGTGCGTGCCGCGGTGCGTGCGCGCACGCGAGTGTGCCTCGAAACAATCGGCCACCTAACTGAACCGACGCGTCGGAAGGGATTCTTTTTCAGTCCACTCCGCCGCTGTTGGCCGGGGACCAAACCGACCACACTGCTGTGGTTATTAAACCCGTAATGTTCGCGCGGTGGAGGGAGAGGGTGGAAGGGGGGTGGAAGGGCCCAAGCGAGGTCCCTTTGAGCCCGGAGCGGGGTGGGGAGCGTATTGTGAATCAGTTGGCCATTCTCAACATCTTCAGTTATGGAGCCATTTACGTAAGACCGCCAGCTCGCCTGCCGTAGTCCACACGAACCTCCCCCCTCTCCTTTTGATTCTCCTGCACCGACCTCGCTTAGACCCCAGGCTTTGTTATCTCATTGTCCGGGGTGCTTCGCGCCTTGCCCTGCTGCGCAGCCGGTCGGTGGCTTTCACACACACCCAGAGGGAGGGAGGGGGAGAGAGAGAGAGAGAGAGAGAGAGAGAGAGAGAGAGAGAGAGAGAGAGAG